AAATCATCCTAGGATGCTGAAAGGAATGGCTAATGGTATCCCAGATCCACTGGCAATAATATTTACAAAGTCATGGAAGATGGGTGAGATTCCAGAGGACTGGAAAAGGTCTAGTGTAAAGTCAGCCTTAAAAATCAGGTGGGAAGGGAGGTGGAGGGCTGAGAGGGACCCAGAGAATTATAGATGGGTCAGGCTGACTTCAGTACCTGGGAAATTACTGGAGCAAAAGTAAACATCCAGAAGACAAAAAACTGATCTCTGGAAGCCACCATAAATTTGTTAGGAATAAATCATGCTCACCCAACTTGATCTGTTTGACAAAATAATTAGCTGGATGGATGAAGGGAATGCAGTGGACATAGTACACATGGGATTTAGATAGATATATTCTTGATGTAGTTCTGCCTGACGTTCTCCTAAGCAAAGTGGAAAATTGTAGGCTAGACACAATTACTATAAGGTGGTTACATATTTGACTCAATTATTGTTTTGGTTTATTGAACATGTTTATTAATGTTTTGCACGGTGGAATTTGGAGCTCCCCAGTCAAGCTTGTAGATAATGCTGTGGCAGGGCACTTAAAGTGCTGGGTACTTGAAGAGGTCAGGCAGCTTACTGAGCCAGGGCAGGTGGGGGTCAGGGCTAATTGCGGAGCCAGCTGACCCAGGGGTCTGGCAGGTGAGATTAGGCCTCATCCAGGGAGTGCCTGATTGGAGGAGGGCTGGGTTTAGACAGGGGATAAGCTCAGACCCTGAGAGTAGGGCTGGCAGTAGCATCTTGGGAGCTGGTGAAGGAACATCACCCAGCAGGAAGGCTGCTGTTCCTTAATGCTAGCAAGGAGAATGACAACTGGACGTTTGGGTAGAAATTAAGGGGATGGAAGAGCTTCCTGGAGGACCCAGTGTGGGGATCCAGAGCCCTGAGAAGGGGGCCGAGAGCACAGGGGCCTCTTGAGAGGCTGGATGAGCCCAGAGAGAGAGGGGCTGAAGTCACAGGGGCCTAGTAAGAGGCCAGACAAACCCTGGGAGAGGGGCTGAGAGTCTGTGAGCCTACTGAGTGGCCAGATGAGCCCTGAGAGAGGGGCCAAGTGTTGGGGAGACCGAGTGAGTGAAGCCAGTGAGTGGGACAGAGTGGGGAGGAGCTATTCAGAGGTCTGGGTTTGCTCAGAGAAGGAAGGGGCTGTGTTAGAGAAGACCTAGTATAAGTGGAGAACTAAAAGGGTCCAGGATGAGGGAGCAAAAGGGGTTAGCAGCCCTGGGAGGGAGACCAAGGGGTCTGGTAGCCCGGGGAGTGGTTGTGTGACACTGAGATGTCTGAGGGGCCGGAGGAGAGACCGAGGGGTCTGGCAACCCAAGTGGAGCTGAGAGGGAGAAGTTCAGCATTGGCAAAAGGAAGGTGCTCCAACTAGGGAAGAATAACCAAATTCACAAATACAGAATGGGAGATACCTGGCTGGCCAGTAGCATTGCTGAGACTGGTTTTGGAGGCTTGGGTGTATTACAGACTCAGCTTGAGGCAGCAGTGTGATGCAACTGGAAAAAACAGCAAATATAATTACGGGCTGCAACAACAGGAGTACTACCGATCTCGGCACTGGTTAGGCCTCAGAGTACCGTGTCCAGTTCTGGGCTCCACATTTTAAGATGGACATTGAAAAGCTGGAGAAGATCCAGATGTGGGCAAGCAAAATGCTAAGAGGGGTGGAAGGAAAGTTGTATGAGGAAAGGATGAGAGAGCTAGGTACCTTGAAGAAAAGGAGGTTAAGGACATAATAACAGTTCTCAAATGTTTGAAAGATTGCTATCAAGAAGAGGGAGAACAACAGTTGAGCAGATTAGATAAGATTTCAGGAAAATCTTCTTTACTCTCAGAGCAGTGAGACATTGGGATAAGCTGCCCGGGGAAACTACAATTTCTTTTATGGCGGGCTTTCGAGAGGAGGCTATGCAAACGTTCAATAGAAACAGTTCAGGAGTAGCATGCCTGCATTCGTACAGGGCATTGGACCAGTGAATCTTTGAGGTCCTTTACTGATTTTGTGAATCTCTGGCTTTTGGAATCCCCCAAAAATGAGACGTGTTATTCAGCGGCAGGTTTGCTAATACCACAGTACTAGCCATGCCATAAGCAACGCTAGCAAAGGTTAGGCCTGCTTCCTTTTCATGCTTTCTGGCACAATTAAAGTGAGTGCAATTAAGTTACAAAGTAGGCCGATGTAGTTCCTGTTATTATGCAGTTCACCAAAACATAAGTAAATTAGTGTTTACAGTGTGGCTGAAGGATGTCCTATTCTTAAGCAGTTTATGTGGTTTACTAATAGGCAGAAACTTGGAGTCTGTTACCATGTAAGCCAGTGGTTCCCAACCTTTTTAGACTGTGGACCAGCAAACCACCGGCAGGCAACCCTTCGCGGCCGGTACTGGGAACCTCTGATGTAAGCAATGGGGAACACATTGGGTGCGCTAGGCACTTAAATGAGTTATTCACTTCTCTGGTACTTATATAAGTGGAGTACACCATTCTTGCTTATTCTGTGCCATACCACAGGCTCCTGGCACGTTACGTTTTAAGATGTAGTTAACCAGTTAATTGCATCTTAAGTTGTTGCCTGGTCACACGTTAATGCAATTAATGACATGATAAAACAAGGAATAAACTGCAAAGTTATTGCACAAAAAATGTATAACAACTTTTTGGTGGGTTCCTATCATGCCGTCAAGCATACCCTGCTACTTGCTGGTGCAGGGGGATCATGATCCTGGGCTTCCCCTGCACTGGCAATAAAGTGTGATTGAATCTGATGCTGGATCTCACAATCATACCTCTTGCATTGTGTCTTTGGCATTTCAGGAAGCACAATTGTGGGGATGTCTCATCAGGTACCATTGCGCCTTCCCTTGCACATCTACCAGGGGCCACATACCATGAGAGAAGCGAAGTCATTCAGTCTCTGCTTCTGGGGGTATGTGGCAAATAAGAGAAGGAAATACTTGCTTTCTTCATATGTTGTTGGATGAATTATGTTTCAGGACTTGAAAAATCCAAGTACAGATTGGTAGCTATGGGGAGTAGTAATTGTTCATCTTTGGCAGGATTCAGCTGTGTGTTGCTTTTTTAAATTAAAGCCATTGAACTTGTGCAGGAAATCTCCTGTGTGTGAACCAGTGCTGCATTGTTTTCCTGACCTTACAGTCAGGCAGCTCTGTTTTTATCTGTGTTTTATGGGGCTAGATGCAATATAAAAACCTCAGAGGGCAAAATAAGATGGGAGTAAAATGTTGTACAAGCTAATTTGTCTTGTTAACAACTCTGACCAACTTTTGGAAATAGTTTTCTGATATGCTTTTTTTTTTTTTTTTTTTTTTTTTTTTTTTTTTT